GAGTTCACATTTAGATTAACCGTATACGCGCAGGACAGAGCAAATTTCAGGGTTTGAATTCATTGAGCAGAATGACGTGAATGACCATAAATCAGTTTTCAAACTTGTCCTTTCCTTGAGCCCGTATGTGAGTTGCGATTGTACTTTTACGTTTTGGCGGTCATGGGTTTGATTTCTGTGCACATAACGAACTGCTCTGTGTACTGGTATATTTACAGACTGAATCTCTGTGACAGCTTATTGAAAGTAAAAATGCAATATTAGCACACTGCTTCTCCTTTGCTGAGCGCTTCGCAAGTTAGGTTTGATGTCCTTTAGAAAATCCAACCTTTTCCTGGTTCCTTTGATCAAACATTTGTGGGTTGCATTGTTAGTTACCACAGCCATCGTACTGACGAGGTCCAGTTGTGGTGCTGATTTGGAACGTATGCATCTTAATGGAACAAATCATTCCAAATTTACGCTTCTTTTTCCTATTTCTTATTGCATTCGTTGCTTCCTGTTACTGTAGTTCATTAGAACAGTTGTCATAATTTTAATGCTTCTTAGATTATTTATTATAAATTATCAATCTAATCTAATGTTTGGCGCTCAGACACTGTGGAGCTCATTTTCTATGAGCAATACTTTCCGTTGGGAGTGACTGGCTGGTGTTGCTGAGAATATGCCATCACTGTAGGATGCTTTGGCCGTGAGTATGGACAAGCCGGGTTTCTTTTTTTTTCGAATTCTTCTCAATCTTCAGCACCACACAGCGGTCCGTTTCGTTTCGCTGCACGCCAGCTTACAAAATCCTGTTGCAGATTTGTTTTAATTCCTAAGAAAACATTTCTGGTTTTTCTCGGAAAAATTTGTGCATTCTTTCTGCCTCACTCATTTTTATTTGATAGTATTGGATTACGTGTACAACAGAATTAGTAGCAGTAACAACAGTTATCGGCTAGCAGCGGTTACGGTTTTATACACTAGAACTGTATGGATTAGCAGCTCTCTGGATACTTTATATGTTGCAAAATAAAAGAAAGTGTCAATAGCAGTTGACCAGTATCACACCATTACGTTTAGCCAATTTCCAAATATCCGGTGCGTATCTGAATTTATTTTCAGCCTTCCTCTGGTACACAGGCAACGCCTGCTGTTGTTATTGCTTATGGTTCAGCGGTTCAGAATGCTGCCTTTCCTCGCCATACCCGTAACAGGCAAACTTTCCATGGCAAAACAGAACATAACAAGGTGATTTTTTTTATTCGTTTATGGTTTTCTTTTTCCTGCCCTTTGAAATCTTTGGTTTCAGCATGCACGCATGTAAGCCTGGCGGGAGTGGCGCACTGGCAAGTAGCACTACTGTCGTGTCAAAGGCTGAGGGTTCAACTCCTCCAGTAAGGCAGTTGACTATTAGTTTCGATAATAAATTGGTGCTGATGCATTACCACACTGTCATCGGTTTGCTTAATAGCAAGTCTCGAATGAAAGTGCTATCAGTAACCTTGACATTGGTTACGATTGACATGTTCGTTTGTGAAATAGTAGAATGAGTGATAATGGGCTGGTCTAACTGGTCTTGCAACAGTTGATGGTTGCAACTTGTGCGGATATGCTTTTGTCAGTGCAGAGCATTGCTAGTTTGATCAAACGATGATGAGCAAGAGCTGCTGCTCGTTACATGGTAGCTTAAGGATAAGGAGATGCACCTAGTAAAAAGACGCTAGAGAACTTATCAATGCTGATGATCAGTAACTGAAGCATATTGGTTTGAAATTTGCAGGGTGCTGTGGATGATGGTGAATCAGAAGTTGTGCATGGTGGTGTAAACACTTCTGGTAACGGTGGCCCACGTGGTTCTTTTTTGTCGAAGCTAACCAAGCTTACTCGCCGGTAAGTTCCTCTAAAAATTCCTGGTGCAGATTTTACACTAATCATTTTGAGGTAGTTTGAGAGCAGCTTCTCCAGTCTTCCCTCACCTGCAGTTGCTTTAGTGCCCTACGTACAGCTTAACTTTGCGTATACGAAAAACTGGGCAATTACTAAAACTTGGCCCGACTCGGCCGGTTTGTAGGCAGGTTGTGATGATTGTGGTGTGCTTTCTACGATAGCTTGGCATGGGCGGAGATTGATGGGCGGGGAGGAGGGCCGGAGTACTGTAGGTTGCATGAGATCATAACAGAGGAGAGGGAGCGGTGGTATTGATTGGAAAGGAGGCTGAGATTTTGCTTGGAGGTAGGAATTGGGAACAGGGTGAAGTTTTATGGGTTTATGATGCTTAGCACGAAGCTAGATGCTGTGTTAAAGTTGGTAAGCTTGTGCTTGGCACTTAAACTTCAGCTAGGCAAAAAATCCGGTAATTGTGCATAACTAAAAATTTTGTAGCTCGCATCCAAAGTCACAAAAGAGTGTGTACTGCGCGGTCGAGTCGAGCTTTTGCAATTGTCGGGACTGTAACTGCGCTTTCTTTTACTTACTAGTTGTTTGCTTGTGGTATTTCGCTTGACCAGATGATCGCTAAGCTCTGTTATTATGGCACTGGCATAGGTATTGCTGCGATGTAGATTTCGCTCCTCTCACTTTGCACGCTAAATGACGAAAAAAAAAGGCATTGGTGGATGCTTTCTCCTTAGCTTCCCCCTTACGATTCTGGAAGAATCATGCTGGGCTTTATCTGAAATAGTAGGTATGGCCTTCATAAGAGTAAATTCAACATAATGCGCTATTATTGCTGTACATTTGTGGGGGCTCTTGTGGCTGTAATGACTAGCGGTGCTGTGAAATAGCACCAACTTTGCATTTTCTCGTTGTTTTGATTTGCCTTTGCTGTAAATTCTGGTGTGCTATGTGTGTATGTATTTGCGTTGTTGTGTATGTATGTGTGTTTGTGCCATGCCAGGACACCCTCACAACTGTAAAATTTTTAACAGATTTCAAAGATTTTTCTTTTTTCGCATTTAATTTGTGCACAGCAGTACTTCGGTTATGGTGATGGTTTCATCTCACTTCACACCGTTCTGACACGCAGCACCGAGATCGGCTACCATCGATATACCAGTATGTCCAGCATCTTTGTGCATCATCATCACACTAAACTATTTCGGTGGTAAAGA